TGTTTGAAGGGAGGATTCACGACAAGCCATTATGCTGACAGGGACAGATGTTGGTGCGATGATGGCATCTAGGGGAGGAAATAAACCATTTCAACCAGTTGGAGTGGTGACTAATGGACCAAACCGTTCTAGTTAGCTGCATCAAGCACCATCGTTCCAGATTATGACAAGCAAACAAGTTGCGGTTGGGTCTGTTACAGGCACTAAACAGGAGGTGTCTATATCAACTTCCAAATTGGGCCTTTCCCAATTAATGTTGGAAAGCCCAATACAACCTCTAAGCCCAAATTGTAGTCTGAAGGTGGCAGTTGCACGCACTGTGGAAATTTTAAACACACTCGTGAAACCTATTTTCAATTACACAGATACCCAGAATGGTGGTATACACTTAAAGCTCGAAAAAAACAAAAAGTTACTACTAAAAGAAGCTCAAACTCAGGTCGGGTCGCCTTGGTCAATGCAGAACCTCAATTATCCTTAATTCCACAGGTAGAATCCTCAAGTTCTTCATCCCAAGTTGATGGTTCTACCACTCTCAGTGACTCAGGCAACTGTGGTTATGCTTTGTTTGGTTCCCATCAAAATGATTACAGTGGGTGGATAATTGATTCAGGGGCAACTGATCATATGACCTTTGATTCCAATGACTTTGTTAGTACTACTCAACCAAAACGGACTAGTATTGCTAACGCTAATGGGGTTACATATCCAGTTACAGGAGCTGGAACTGTTGCTCTCTCCCCATCTCTTTCATTATTAAATACTTTACTTGTTTTGTCTCTCTCAAATAAATTGATATCTGTTGGACAGGCTACTGAGGAATTAAATTGTTGTGCACTAATCTATCCAAGTTTTTGCTTTCTTCAGGATATTGTCACCAAGGAGATTATTGGTCGTGGTACTAAACGAGGGGGTTTGTATTATGTGGATGATTTCAGTATTGGCAAGGCCAATAATATGTATTCGTTAGGGGTCAAGCAAAGACAAATTTGGTTGTGGCACCGTTGTTTGGGGCATCCATCATTTAGCTATTTGAAGCATTTGTTACCAGATATGTTTACAGATTTACAGGATTCAGATTTTAAATGTGAAACTTGCATTTCAGCAAAGTCATCGTGTGTCTTACCCTTTACGGTTGAATAAAAGTGAGACTCCTTTTGCTTTAATTCACTCTGATGTTTGAGGGCCCTCGCCCATCTCTACTTCTTCTTGACATCGTTGGTTTGTAACATTTGTGGATGATTGCACACGCATGACCTGGGTTTACTTAATGCATCACAAAAATGATGTATTTAGTATTTTTGGGAGTTTTCATAAGATGATTCAAACTCAATTTTTTGCCACAACTCGGATTCTTCGTTTTGACAATGGTGGAGAATATGTGAATCACGTATTTCAGTATTATTTTCAAAACTCAGGCATTATTCATGAGACCACTTGCCCACAGACACCTCAACAAAATGGTGTTGTCGAAAGGAAAAACATGCACATTTTAGAAACTGGTCGGGCTCTTCTAATTGGAGCTTATATACCTCGAAGTTATTGGAATGATGCAGTTGTCACTGTTGTATACCTTATAAATTGTATACCTTCAACATCGTTAAATTTTCAGACACCACTTCAGGCTCTTTTTGAACATGGATCCTTACCCTCCATTCTGATGCTTACACCCCCTATCTTTGGGTGTGTTGCCTTTATCCACCTATATAAAAATCAACGTACTAAGCTTGACCCATGTGCTGTTTGTTGTATAATTCTAGAGTATGGTACACATCAGAAAGGATATCGTTGTTACCATCCTTCCACCCAACGCACTTTTGTAACTATGGATGTCACATTCTTGGAGTCTGAGACTTTTTTTTCTAGCCCGTTATCCACTTCTCCTCTTCAGGGGGAGATATTGAGTAAAGAGCAGAACTAGATAGTGTTTGACAATCTAGGAACTTCGGTCGAGGAAGAACAATAACTAGATGCTTCCCTTGGCATAAGAGAAAGTGAAGAAGAAAAGATTGAAACTTATCTTGGCATAATAGAAACTGAAGAAGTAAAGATTGGAATTGAAGAATCCCCCCATCATCCTCTAGTAGCAACAGACTAATCTCTTAAGAATATTCCTGAGGTAAGTTCTTTTATTACTCCTTCTCCTGTTAATGTGTTGGATACTTCTGCAAGTTATAAGTTACCTTTCAGGCATAATCGCGGAAAACCACCAGACCGGTATTCTCCAGATTATGAGATAAAGAATTCAAAGTATCCGATTACCAATCATGTGTCATCTCAAGGGTTACTAAAACCACTAAGGGCATTTGTGCATCAATTATCCTCTGTTCTTGTTCCTAGCAACGTACAAGAAGCTTTAGCAGATCCAAAATGGACTTAGGCAATGAAAGAAGAAATGGAGGCCCTACAGAAAAATAAGACATGGACTCTTGTTCCATTGCCCAAAGGAAAGAAGAAAGTAGGATGCAAATGGGTCTTTACTATCAAACATAAGGCAGATGGATCTATTGAAAGGTACAAAGCAAGACTTGTGGCAAAGGGATACACTCAAACTTTCGGTATAGACTATCAAGAGACTTTTTCCCCAGTGGCGAAACTAAATACTATCAGGGTATTACTATCTCTTGCAGTTAATTTAGATTGGCCATTGCACCAATTTGACGTAAATAATGCCTTTCTCCATGGCAACCTCAAGGAGGAAGTTTTCATGGACATTCCACCGGGGCACTCTATATCCTAAAAAACCGGGGTTGTGTGTAAATTGCAAAAGGCATTGTATGGCTTAAAGCAATCCCCACGTGCATGGTTTGGGCGTTTTAGTTCGACAATGAGGAATTATGGTTTCAAGCAAAGCAACTCGGACCACACTTTATTCCTGAAACACCGAGAAAGAAAAGTGACAACTTTGATAATCTACGTTGATGATATGATAATCACAGGAGACAACATGGAGGAGATTTCAAGACTTCAGAAGCATTTGGCAACTGAATTTGAAATGAAGGATCTTGGAGGACTAAAGTATTTTTTGGGTATTGAGGTAGCTCGATCAAAGCAAGGCATATTTCTATCTCAAAGGAAGTATGTTTTAGACTTGTTGTCAGAAACTGGAATGCTTGATTGTAAACCTGTTGACACTCCAATTGTTCAAAATCATAATCTGGGGGAGTATCCTGATCAAGTACCAACTAGTAAAGAAAGATATCAAAGGTTAGTTGGAAAGCTTATTTATTTGTCACATAAAAAGCCAGATATTGCTTATGCTGTGAGCGTGGTAAGTCAATTTATGCATTGCCCTAGTGAAGATCATATGAATGCAATAACTTGAATTCTTCGTTATTTGAAATCTGCTCCTAGAAAAGGGCTTATGTTCTCAAGGAATAATCACTTAGATATTAGTGGCTACACAGATGCAGATTGGGCAGGAAGTATTACTGATAGAAGATCCACATCTGGATATTTTTCCTTTGTGGGAGGCCAGATATTCCTTGAGTTGTATAAATAGCAACCTTTGTATGCAACGAAGAAAAGAAAAAAAGAAATACATTTACCCATGAAAAGAATACCTGTGTTGACATTATAGTCTGCCAAGGAGTCTATGTAGCATATTTTTCTTCTTTATTCTTTCTCTGAATCTAATTGAAGTAGGTATTGGTGTTTGAAGATACTCCGCTTCCAAAGTTAACATTGCTAGAATTGAAGAGTTCATTGACTGATACTATGAATGAAATCTTATATTAAAAAAAATAAGAATCATGAATGTTATCATAGCCACTAGCTTTTTATTATCAAATAAATTAGGTTTTAACCTGAAGGATAATACTCTTTTGTATTATAGTCTCTTTATCTAGTTCTTTGAATTCTGTGAATATTTCAGTCTCAAGAATTTCCTAACCAAGCTACTGGCTGGTTTTGTTAGTTTTGAGTTATATTCTGCCAAGGAGTTAGTTCTCTAGAATATACATAATGATGTCTGGTTATTGCTTATGAGGTAGTGGAATGGTATTTGTTGTTGAATGATAATCAATAAAAGCTTGTGGTTAATGGAGGCCAACTGTTTGTTTGTCTGTATTAAGAACATTCTTTTTGCAGGATACATCATCTGCTGTTGCACGAGCTGGTCCTGGATCATCTGCATCAACCAGCTCTCAGTCCTTAAATAATTCTTCAAGTTCTACAGTGGCTGCATCTTCAACTAGTAAAGTTGTTCCGACTTCATGGATGCACACTTTCTCATCTTTTACCGTTCCACCAGGATTATCTGGAGCTCCAGGGACACTAGGCCGCCTTGGAGTAGTGCCATCCCACTGAAGAATGCTTCATCAGCAATTATGGAGTCAAACTCTTCTGCAGTATGGAGACCCTGTCTGTCAACTGCTCCTGCTCCATCAAACCAAGCAATTCAGCATCCAATATACCTTACCCATCCATCCTTACCTCCTATAAGTGGTTCCTCTCAGGGACACTGGTTGCAGCACCCAAAGACGGGTCTCATGCCTAGGCCGCCTTTTTCGTCATATCTTGCTGCTTATCCTACTCCCTTTCTTTCGCTGACTCATGGCATACCTCATCTTTCTGTTACATCAAATGATTCTTTACCTCCTGGTGTTTCTTCTACAGCACATGTTGGTGCAACTCCCACATTTTCTGCTGCTTCAGGGCAACAAGTGGTAGGCGCTTCAGCAATGCAGACAGAACCACCTTCAGGAATTAGTACGCTCAGGGTTTATGCTAGATTACTGATCAGCTAGCAATGAAAGAGCTGTTTCTCCTTCATTATTGTTACCTGCAGTCAATTTTTGCCTCGTCAATCTTTCGTGGCTTTGTAGATAACAGGGAACATGTACATGAGTTCAACGCAAGGAGGGATCTGCTGTCAATGAACAATTAGTGCATGGACAGCCCACAAGACTGATACAGGGTTTGTCTACTATTATAATGCTGAAACAGGAGAATCAACTTATAACAAATCTGCTGGCTTTAAGGGGGAGGTATATGTAATTATTACTTATGGTCACTTGTTGATAAGTTGTTAGAGCACTATGCATGTTATTTTGTTTATATATTCTTGTGCAAAGCATACTTCTGTTACTAAATTTTCTATAACCTCCAAAATGTCAATGGAATAGCTTTGAGGTAAAATTCTATTGGTGAAACATTTGATTAGATTGACCTCTTTTCTGAATTTTTTTTTTTTTTTTGGTCCAGTCCATATAATTGTACATGTTTTAATTTTCCCACCCGAAACCACCCTGCTGTAATATGAAAGAAGTCATGAGTAATTTGGTGCACAAATAATGGTAGCACGCTGGTTTAGAACTGCAAAAAAGGCGTAGGATATACTGCTGGAAGATTCTGAAAAATACAGGGCAGGGATAATGAGATTATATTAGATCGCTTAGCATTTCCGGCACTGCCCAAAATTCTTGCTGGCGTATTACTCCAAATATATGGACTGGGTAACGTATTCTGTTTGAGGAATTATTATTTTCTTGAACTCTTAAGATGCTTTCTGGCATCCTACGATTGGAGTTTTAGTGAAGTATAAAACTAGTGTTCATTGACCTCTCAGCTGGTGGTGTTTTGCTTCCCTTTTGGCTATCATTTGTGGCTTCAATTATCCTTTTCTTGAGCTGTTGAATGTGTGTCTAATCATGTGTCGTATTTTGTTTTAACATTGTGCAGGCTGACAAAGTTTCTGTGCAACCAACTCCGGCTTCAATGTAAGTTATTTAAGTTTGGCAATATCTTACTAACAGTTTTGTCCTCAGAAAACAAAATGTTTTTCGAGTCATTTAATTTTTTGATTCAGTTTTCTGGATTCTTTTAAACAGAAAAATCTAAGTCGTACTGCGAAGACATTTCATATTGGGAATAGAAAAACCTCGCAAAATTAAAATTACATAACATTTTAAAACTTTAAATAACACAAGTACAACAACATAATAACATATCAACCATCAAGTTTCATCCTCCCAAAATTAAGTTTCAACCTCCCACGCTCTGGACTACTTAGCCCGTTCATGTGTATTTCTATTTGATATCGACTCTCCCATATTAGGCGTGTCCTCAATGTCAATGTTTTCTCTAATTGATCACATTGTTCTTGCAAACATTTAAATTGTTTTATAATTACCATGTTAGAGATTTTCAAAGTAGTATAAAAATTATGGTTCACCTTTAAGCAACAATTGTACAGCAATTACAACAAAAAGATGAAGTACAGAAAGCAAAGGTATCTACTACTAGTAGTAGATTGGAGAAGACAATAAATTTGGGTTAGAAAATAAGAACTTTATAAGGAGGAAAGCTTAAAAAGGGCGCAATAATTGCCTAAAAATCTTAAGTATTATCTCATATCATTATAAATAAACATTAAGTTAAGATCACATGGAGAGCAAGCAACCAAAATAAAGTCCAAATAAACCCAGCTACAGAGCTCTTTCACATGCTTCAATAGTTAAATTCTATTCCCTTTTTCAAATAAATATATCATATAGGTCTGCACTGCAACACAAATGGGATAATCAATCCTTCACGTGCTTGTCTAGAGCATTATAAAAACAATGTGAAGTAAATATAAGTGGGTCTAGTTCTCGTTTGATGAAAATATTATCCAAGTTGGCTTAGATAAACTGAATTACTTGAATAAATAAGCAGAATATGACATTTCTATTGAAGATTCTATTCCTAAATAAAGTATTTGGATATCTTAATTAATCAAACTAAAGAAAGCATGTAGATGATATTATGCCATAAATTTTTTTAAGCTTGAAGCAGTTATGGGAAATTAATTCAAAACCAAATTACAAGAAATGAAAACTCAACCATCAAAATTGAGATTAAAAAAAAAAAAAATATTCATTTTAAGTTAATAATCAATTAAAAGAACAGGAGAAGAAGCTCATAGAAGCTAGATACAAATTTGGTTTTATTATTTTAAGCATGCAATATCCAAAAAAATTCTAGAAGAAAATGATTGTGAACAAGTAAATAATCATTTCCATTCCCTCAAAAGTGCTCCAAAACTGAGGAGGCCACAACAGGGCTCAAAAGAACACTCCATGTGCACCAACTCTGTTTCTAAATTCCTACAAAAACCTACGCTATCCAGTATCCACCACATAGAAAAATACTAACCACATCATAACACCACAATCTCTCCATTCTTTGAATATTTCAAAGAAGATCAGAATTCGTCCTTCAATGCCTATTGTCTACTCACTCTTTTAACTTTACTTCAAAAGAGATATACCAGTTCATGAGATAGCAAATCAAACTTAAAAAAAAAAAAAAACTCTCACGATCTAGAAATAAAAAAGACTAAAAGAAAAACTATAATATGCAAATATGCTGATAGAAATTCATGATGGTGACGATAATTGAAAACCCTAAATACAAAAATTGGGGATTTTGAAATACCTAATTGGAGATATCTTGCGAACGTGAGAGTTGAGACGGTGAGATGGTGTTTGACGATTCAAATTGGCAGCCTCGGAGATTCAAGTTCCACGATTTGAACTTAGAGTGAGAGAGATGAGAGATTGACAGGCCATAGGCGCACTGGAGAGGAGAATGGAGATTGTCGATTTTTTCCCCCAATCCCTAAATTTTCTTATATATTTATAGGAAATGCAAAATATTAGAAAACCCCCCATCATTTATATTATATCAAATTAGTCTTGGTTCCCGGTTCTGGTTCCTTTGATTAGGAATCAAAACCAGAACCACATAGTATCGGTTCCTATTTTTTGAAACCAAAACCGACCCTGTTACGGCCGGTTCTAGGTAGGAATCGGAACTAAAACCAGGGTACCCGTCGGTTCCTGTTCTGCCCTAAAATTTTTCCCACCCCTAATATTGAATGCCTTAATGCTTTTGCGAAAAAAATTTAAATTGATTTGAGTCTGGAAGTTAAGGGCTTACTGAGATTAGGGGTGTTCAAAAGCGGTTAACCGAACGGCTTAAACGCCTTTTTCTGAACCGAACCGAATTTTCGGTTCGGAAAAATTTCCGAACCGAAACCGAACCGGTTTTAAAGAAAACCAGTTTTTCGGTTAACCGAAAAACCGTTAACCGTTTAAAAAAAACGGTTAACCGTTTGTGAACCGGTTTTCCATTTTTTATAAAACTTTTTTTTTAATTTTATCCTAAATTAAATTGTAAATAACTAAATATAGAAAAATACATATCCAAATAAAAATAAACATTTATACATATCCATGACCACTACTAACAATAAATTAAAAATTGATACAAATAAAAGTCCAAAATGAAATAAAAATTAAAGTCCATAATAAAACAACAAAATAAATAAATAAGTCCCAATAGAAAACAACAAAAGAAATTGGGCAAATACGACTCCACAAGTAGAAAGCGGAAACCAACATTAAGTCAATACGAGTAGATCCCCATATCTGCCCAAATAAAAATTAAATGTTAGAAGTTTATAAAAATTAAATCATATTTTTTTTCATTGCCTACGATAAAAAACTATTAAAGAAATCAAACCTCAATTAAATGCTGCAAAACCAATCATCAAGATGAATACGAGTAGTATTTCCCATTGCCGAAGACACAAATTCTATAAAAATGGTCATATAAATAATGGTTAAATTTAAAATTCAATCAATAATCCAATAAAGACAACATAATAAAATAATTGAAACTAAAGCAAAAACTTTACCTGACTCAAGCTCTGCTATCTCTCCAAGCTCTCCTCAATCATGAATGGTTCAGTGTAAGCCCGAATCCAATCTTGTGTGCAAATAAGAGCCCCCACCGTCTAGGAGTGAGGAAGCTACGAATGGATCTAATACACGACCCCCAGTGCTAAATGCTGACTCAGATGCAACAGTAGAAACCGGCATAGCTAACACTCTCGTGCTATCGAGAGAGAACTGGATATCTATTTGAATTGACTTTCCACCAACTCAAGATATCAACATGCGTCCTTATGACGCTGCTCACATTCATCCTCTAAAATTTATCCATCTCAGATTTGGTTACTGTAACCTCCTGTCTAGCCATTGCCTCATCGTACATACAATACATCAATTCTTTGGGATCAACATTTACATCTTCCACATTAATTGACTTGCTTGTTGAGACTGTTGACTAGATTGCCCACTCGGAGAACTATAAATGAGCTTGTATTGGTCAAATAAAAATACAAAGTTGTATGCACTTTATCTTCAAAAGTTCAGCATTAGCATCATCTAAGATTTACTAATAACCCAATTGACATATCCTAACTTGAATCTAGGATCCAACCACCACTGCAATGAATAATATTAAGTGAAATTATCAATATTTGACCAATATTTATCATGTTTTCCCTTCATTCTCCTAGCCATAGTACTTAAGCCAACATCATTACTTCTAGACCCATGTTGAAATCTACATTCCAATGACAAAGATCTCGCGCATGTGTGCATTACCGGTAACAAAAAGTGAGCCTGACACGCGTAGAGTAGCATCATAAAAACTTTCAAAAAAGGTAACAAGTAACGGGCATATCCCAATCACTAGGCATAGGCAAACCCTTGACTTTTCCCTCTAGTAAGTTCATCTTTATACTTAACGTCTCGGATTGCCAACAACTCAAATGCTTTCTGAAATTTTAAAGTCACATCAACATTAAGTACGTAGAGTTCCACCTTGTTTCTACATCAAGAACCAAAAGATTTTTTTGTTCAATCTTTTCTTGCTACACACACTTAAACCTTGTAATCTCGCTGGAGAAGACCTCACATATCTCACTGAGAGTGAATTCTAAAAATGAGTCCTCCATGTCTTTAACCCCTCTTTTACAGTGAGACTCAATATATGTGCACAACACCTCATGTGCAGAAAATCACCACTCAAAACACTACCCTTCCAACTTTCTAACCGGTTCTGGAGATATTTTATTCCAACATCATTAGAACTTGCATGTCAACGGTAATGGTGAAAACCTTAGAAATACCCAATCAAGCAAACACCTCTCAATTGCCTACCAATCAATAAACCTTGTGACTAGCAATTGGACAAAAATTAAGATCTTTTTATGTAATTTCCAATCATCATCAATGAAGTGAGCCGTCAAACACTATAGTTAAGGTTTTGGCAAGATGTCCATGTATCCGTGGTAAGACTTACTCTCTTACTAAACTTACTAAAAAATGCCTTCAACTTATTTCTTCTTCAACATAAATATTAAAACATCTCTAGCCACAGTATATGAGAGGGAACTTGAAATAAAGGTTGTGCATCCTTCATCATATCGCGGAACTCTCAAGTTCTACATGCCTAAAGGGCAACATCAACAATTATCATTCTAACTAGAGACCGTCTAAGCCTATCTGGATTGAATTTCCAAGTTGTAAGTGAAGATTGTGTGGAGGTGGCAGCAGTACCACTTGATTGGTCATTTGATTGTGTATGTTGAAAACTAAGATCTTTGTTTCTTATCTATCACATTCAAAGGGTACTTTTTACACTCGACTTAAGTGATTCCGTAAACAACTAGTACCACTTTTACTTGGACATGCAAGCAACATTCCCACAATAATACAGTTTGCCGTCCTATCATCCATATTCACAAGGATTTACAGTAAAATGATCCCACATGTCAGAAGTATTTTTTCGAGTATTAGAACTTACACGTTTGGAGACTCGTGGTGGTCGTGGTCGTGGATCAGGATTCGTAGAAGGCTGTGGGGCTACCATGAGTTTGGAGTTGGATTCCTACTAGTTGGTGTCTCGGACTCTCATCAGTATTAGAATGGTCAGCAGCCATGGGGTTAGATTTGGACATCTGCAACATCAACAAGAAGATCTTAATGTAAGTAAAAGGACATTCCTAGCAGTCCATACAACTAAAAAAAAGAACCAAATTTCAACAAGCAACATTAAGATGCATTTTGCCTAAAGAAGAATTTCATTGAATGGTTACATACTTGACTCTCAAACCAAGAGTATAACAGTCTAATTGCTTTTTTTCTTTTGATTTTTCGATCTTCCCAGGTATATATACCTTAACCATTTTATCAAACTGGTATATTCTTTTATTTAACACACAACAAATTATTGAATTACATTTGTGTTCAAATAATGAGGAGTTGCTTTGGGTGATAGCTGGATTTCTCCTGAAGATTTTTGTGTATGTGGTTCCACTGATTGAAAATTTCTGTGTGCCAATATTTCTCCATCTAAAAATGACTTGATTTTCATATTAAAATTGCTTACAACTAAAGATTAATAATGCAGTTTTCATGGGCACCACTTCTCAAAGAGCTGTCACGAATGGAACAAAGGCTTAATGAATCGAATAGGTTCAGATTAAGAATTTAATTGTCTCTGATAATGTTTTGAAAAAGGCAAAATCAAATTAAGTTAGCAAATCCATTTTGCAAGAACAGTTTAGCTCTAAAGATTAAGCAGCAACTAGCAGCAGGAAATATGAAGATGCTGCAATAACATACTCATTTATTACTTGTTCAAATAATGAGGAGTTCTGGTGGCAGACATAAAACAAATTTCACAAATGATATGAGTTATCTCTCACTCTTTTCTCTTTAAGATAAGGTGCCAATATATTTTAATAAATGATAAAAGGAAAGTTGTTACCTTGAAATTTTGCTGCACCTTTGTTTCTTGGAGAGGATGAGTAGAAAAGCTTTTTTAATAAACTGTGAAGTAACGTGGGTGCTTGCTGTTGCTAGAAGAAGGAGCTGGAAGAAGGAGAAGGATGATGCAGCTTTGCTGCAGCTGGAAGAAGGAGAAGGATGACGTAGCTTTGTTGGATCTGGAGAAAAATGAAGAAAATCTGGTATTTGTGAACTGAGAAGGGCCTCGGGTGCTTGCTGGAGCTGGAAGAAGGAGAACGACGCCGCAACTTTGCTGGATCTGGAAGAAAATGAAGATAATCGGTAATTTGTGAGCTGAGAAGGGAGAGGCAGAGAGCTGCGAAAAAAAATGGTGGGTTGCGATTTTAGATTTGAGTGAAAGTGAATGTGAATTAGGGATAGATTTTTATTTATTATTAATATCTATAATATATATATATAATTTGAAAACCGGTTGACCGTTTTTAGTTTTTCCCGAACCGGTAACCGAACCGGAAATTCGGTTTTTTTAATTTTTTGAACCGTAACCGAACCGTTTTTTCGGTTAATCGGTTTTTCGGTTCGGTTATCGGTTCGGTTCGATTTTTGCATTTTTTTGAACACCCCTAACTGAGATAACAGTGTAGGCTTACTATTCTTTTTTGAATTTATACTCGAGTGTTTCCTCTTGGTTCGTATTGTAACTACTGATAAGATATTATTGGACTTGGTCATGACAGGAGGGCTCCAATGGTCTCGTTGCAAAAGAAAGTGTAATCTTCAATATTGAGGAAGGAGCTACCAAAACTTCTTGCATTGTCTTCTGGTGTTCCTAACCATCAGTCTTTATAGAATATTTTTTTTTGTGTTTGTTTCTCGAATTTACTCCTTGATGCCTTGTTCTTCATTGTCTCATATATATTGCAGTAAGATTAAATGCTTTCTTCTCTTGGAAAACTTAAAGAGCAAATAATATTTGTAAGGAGAAGTCAGGTTGACTCATGATAATCTTATTTTTCTCATTTTGAAAGAGATTTGTGTGGATATTTATGCACTTGATGACCTTCAGCCAAGATTCTTCCCCTAGAGTATTTAGTTCCATATGGACTTTGGTGTAATTTAGATGACTATTCACTGGAACGTTTGTCGAGTTGGTCCTTTGTTCAACTTAAAGATAAATCTGCTTATTGGATTCATCACCTTGCTCTTTACTTAATGGATATCAATGCTCATAATGTTTTAATCATTAAATCTTCTTTCCTTTTCTAGGTAATACGACTGCGAAAGGCATGTAGCCATCCACACCTATGTCCTAGTATTGAGCCCGAACCATTTGTAGAAGGTGAACACTTGGTTCAGGTAAGCCTTCTCATCTAGGTTTTTTAGACAAAGGATGATGAATGTGAAATTGTAATCTATCTACAGCTTCTGAGTCTTCGACTTGTATTTTCCTTCAAGCATATCATATTGTTCCTTTTCAACCAAAATGTTGTTTTTATGACTTCTTGATCAAGCTAGCAGCAAACTTGTTATTTTGGACCCACTACTTTGATTGTATGCTTTTAGGCATTATGTTCTTCTCTTTGCCCAGATGACCCATACGCTTGACATTTTACAGGTTTGCTTTTTGAATCTTAATAATGTTAAAAGTTTATGTCTTCAGCTCAAGTGTTGATGCTAGTTGATTTTGACAACTATAGGCACTACTTTTCACATGCAATGTAGGATTTTTTAGAGTTATGGACCTATGAGCATCTTGATGGTCAGTTCGGGCTAAGGAGCATTTAGTTGCTGCTATAAGAAATTTCAATGCTTCTTTATCTACGGGGAGACTCAATTATTAAGTTGATGGAAAATGATCCATATGCTTGATATTTTACAGGTTTGCTTTTCGAATCTTAATGATGTTAAAAGTTTATGTCTTCAGCTTGAGTCCTGATGCTAGTTGATTTTGACAACTATAGACACTACTTTTCACATGCAATGTATGATTTTTCAGCTGATGGAAATAATACTGTTGTTTTTCTGATCTCTATCAAGAGTTGGGGGAGTTAGTTTGAATCTCGTTTTTTAGTCTCTTTACAAGAAGCTAAGCTTCAGTTGGAAGCATAAGAGTCCTTCGAGTCATATATATCGATGAAACATCTGCTCTTATTTTTGTCAATTGAAATTGAAAATTTGTATTATGGGATTATGTACTTTGTTTGCCACATTTTTTTTTTCCAGTATATAGAAGTAGTTTGTTTCTTCCACTCCTAATCACTTTTTTTTTGGATAAGGTAAGTATGTATAAAAGACAAAAAATATACAAATACGAGGGGCATACCCCAAGAGGATGACTGATAACTATCAGTCAAGAACACGTGGGAAAACCCACAAAGTCATGAACAGCAAAAGAGAGCACGCAGGCTCCCCACAAAGCAAGAAGATGCCATAAAAAAACCANTCCCTATAATCCAGGATTTTAATGTGATCCCTATAATCTAGGAAGTTATATACATCTGTAACAGTGAGAAATGCTAGTTTCATTAACTAATTGTTTAACATGCAATGAAAATTTTACAGGAAATGCTTAAGGAAAGAGGATTGGCACCATTCTCAAAGTTGGAGAAGGAACTGCCAAGGATAGTATTTGATCCCTATTTTAAGGTTTGCCGACTCTAAAGATCTTGAATATTTTGTTTGAGAATTGGAGGCCTTCTTACCACAGGGTGATCTCACACCTTAGTAGATATCATAACTCATCACTATCAATCAATATCGTAAGTAATTGCTAAAAAAATCAAGTCCACGACTTGTCGTTCTCAAAGTCAACCACACACTATGCAACGAGATATGTGTGATTCCCATAGTCTTGTGCAGTGGCCACCAACAATGTACCTCCATACTTTCCCATAAAAAAGCAACCATCAACAGCCAACACCTTTCTCATGTTTACAAAACCCTTTATAGCAGCACCGTAAGCAACAAAAAAATGTTTAAACCTCATATTCTTGTCCCACCTCAAAGTCATCTTGCTACCTTGGTTTGTCAACTCAAGCATATAACGGTATGCTTCTAATATTGCGTACCTGTGCTCTAGCGTGCCCCTCACAAAATCTTGTGCATGTTGTCGCCCTTTCCAGCATTTCTAGTAACTAACATTGCATCCCAACTCTATGCGCACAAATCTCTGAATGTCCTTAGAAGATGAACATTTCCCTTCAACAAACTGACTTTTGACAAATTGTCTAATAACATTAGCGAAGGTTTGTCGATGCTCGCCTGAAATATGTCCCAACCCACATGTGTACTCACAGGTATATGTGCTAACAATAAATTTTTTTGGACTATGCCAACCTTCTATAATAAACATGCCACTTACACTTTCGGTCACGACATGCAACCATCACTACCGATAAATTAGACTTTTTGGTGATGAACTCAAAATTACCTCTCACGGTGACATGTTTTAGCTTCCTCACCACTTCCTCCTTGTTGTCAAATAAATAGCCTATGCGCAGGTCCAATCTATCAGTAAAAACATGAGGTGATTCACTAGTACCCGCAATTGCCGCCTCTGAACCTACATAAACGACCATAGTGTTCTCTTCCTCACAAACTACACCTTCTGCATAATTTGTATTTATAAGAATCTCTACATCTATGGGAACATGTACGGGGTTCTTCTCGTCCACATTTTCATTCTGCCTCACATGACCAACATCTTCTACAGTGTCCTCCTCACCACCCAAATCATTGTCTACTCTTGATTTTTTAACAAAGAAATCAATGCACTCGTAGTTAAAATTAAAACGAGCACACTCTCCACCAACTTCCTTGTTATCCCTTTCCTTTGAACCAACTTCCAACAGTTTATCCACAAATGAAACCCTTAAAATCGGCCTCGAACCATTGTCACCCACGTCAAACATATATAACTTCACACTTTCATCTGACTTTAATATAGTAGGAGGTATCTTATAATGTTCAAGAACTCTGCTTAAAACATATTTCACAACTATATCACTACGTGAGCAACTCAAATCACCTCTTCTAATTATTTCATCAATCAACTTATCAAAACTAACATTTGTGCTCACAACAATTGGTATAACTTCTTTGCTCTTCCCAATCCTCTTCCAGCAACTTTCTTCCTCCACTCACTCACCAAAATATTCAACACCCAAAACAACTTGTCTCATGTCTAATAATAGCCAAGTACCTATAATGCAAGAAAAAAAAATTATTAACCGATATATTAAGGGTTGACAAGATTTTAAAAAGCATCTGCAGAGTCGCTTAAACGATGTGGTGTATCGCTTAAGCAATTAGGTATATCACTTACTAGATCGCTTACTAGATCTGGTATAAATAAGTATGATCGCTTAAGCAATCTACTACCATATATCAGACTTATAGCAAATTACTTAAGCAATCTTCTGCCATATACCTGATCGCTTAAGCGATCTGCAATCCGCTGCATTATACCAGACATACCAAATCGCTTAAGCGATCCATCAGATCCAAAACACATTTTTAGTCATCTCCACCTACAATCGGTGCTACCACCCCCAGCTACCCACAATGCAAGAAAATATTCAACAAATTTCACTACTTTCAACTTGCATTACATCAAACACAACCCAACAACCTAAACAACAAAATCAAAATCATAACTCAAATCTAATCCATCATTAAATCTTTGTAAATCGAAACATAAAATGCAACCTGGACGAAATGTCAAGAGGAGGAGGAGGTATATATTTGGCGGAGAAGATGTTAATGGTGGAGGAAGAAGAAGGTGTTAATGGCGGAGGAAGAAAAAAAACGTAGAGGAAGGAGGAAGAAGAAGGTGTAGACGAAGAAGAAGATGTAGATGAAGCTAAGAAGAAACAACAACCAGGGGAGGGCACAGTTCCGATGCGTTAATGGCAGGAAGAAGAAGAAGAAGGTGTTTGGGTTTGTTTGCAATAATTTTGGGTTTTTGGGGACATAGTATAATTTTTAAAAGATTACACAATACTTTATTAATCATAATTAAGCATTAATCATGTTTAATTACCCTTAATTAATAATGAGGCTATTTAGTTAAAACTTTAAAACTTCATATTCTTTTAATTAAATTTTGAAATTGATATGGTCTTTTAATAAAAAGCCCCCACAATCAACCTTGAACTTACAATCATATTTTTTAAGGCTGCACTTTTTCATAATAAATCTAAACAAACATTTAATAAAAAAAATTCCAATTAAAAATCAATTTGGTTAAGATAAATGAACATAATAAAATATGTAACGACAAATGTTTATTTAAAACAATTTTTTTTTTAACTAAGATGTTTTAAAATTTATATTATGAGATAAAAAAAAAGGTTCGAAAATTATAATCAACCTTTTGATATTTATAATTAAGACAAAATCAAAGTAACGGTAATTTGGTAATAAGTCCTTTCCTAAAAAATAATTAAAATAAAATTTATAAATGAATAATAAATTATGTGAAAACTATTCTAGCATTTTAATGATGACAAATGATTTATAAAAAATAAAAAAATTAAGGAATAAAAATAAATTGTTTTAATCTAGTAAGTGATGGGAGGGATAAAATACACTTTTTTTTATTTAAAATTGGATGGAAACTAACATATAACTAACGGCACGGGTATTTTTAATATTTACTTTCATAATGAAATAGATAAGTTTAATACTAATTGATCTTACAAGGGTGTACAAAAATAAACCCATTGTTTGGGAATCTAAAAGATTGAGAATTTTCGCTTAAAAATGAAAGAGGGAAGAAAGAAGAAGGAAGATCAACGGTACAATAAGGTGATTCTTTTTTTAAAAAAATTAGGGCCTATTTGATTTATGATTCAAAAATAACTTTTAAAAACTAAAATACAATTCAAATTTTTAAGTTGTATTTTAATATTATGTCTGATATAAACTTTAAAAACTGGTTTCATATTAAAAGTTGTAGAAAACTGTGAAAATGATTTTTAATCGTTTTCTAATTTTACATTAGCTTTTAGGATGTGAAAATTAGTTTTAACAATTCTACTCATTTTTACCAAAACGTGTTTTCATAACATTTGTTGTATCTTTTTTTTTTTTCAAAATCAAATAACTGTATTTAAATTCTATATCATATGGACCCTTATTTTTTCTAATAAGCCAATTGAAATTTGAATAGTTTTTATTTAAATTAATTTATGGGATGTGTATTATTTATTTCTAATAAATCAATTTGGATATAATTCAAAAGATAGTTAAATTGAAAATTTTAGAAATCAATTATTAAAGTCAATTGATTTTAAATGTACTTGAATTGGAATAGAGCTTAGATTGAAATTAATCTTTAATTAAGTTTGATGGGATCTTTTTTAAACCGCTCAAGGTTTGGACAAAGTCCGAAAAACCGCCTCAGGTTCTGGTAACTATGCTCAATCCCCAACCATCCAGACTATCTAGTTAGTTTTAATAGGATAAAGGGTAAAGGAGTAAATGTATAGATTTTTATTGTTAGCAAGGGTTAACACTGTTAGACCCTTTGAAACTCACAAAACTATTTGACACGAGAAACTCCAGAACTTACCACATAAACCCCTTGCTATTAGTTTTTCTTATTAAATACGAGTTTACTAATTTTAATTATATTTTAAACTTCACTATTCTACTCTAAAATTGATTAACTACTCATTTTTTAAATTAAAGAAAAAGTAAAATAGCTAAAAAAAATTAAATAATACAAACCCTTACCTAAAATCACAAATATTTAAATAAAAAGGAATTAAAAAAAAACTTTAAGAATTTAAAAAATTAATAAAAATCTAAAATCTAAAATATACTAAAAAAGAAAACTAAATTTTTAAAAAATATTTGCCAAACCGCTAGTCTAACAATAAGAGCATCTTTCATATAAATAAAAAGCATCTTCATTAATTTTTAAATATAAAGAACACATTTTTTATTCAAATCCAATAGACTCTTTAAATTTAATGAAAATGCTCTTTATTTTTAAGAAAAAGACTTAATAGGAGAGAGAATTAATAAATAAAAT